TCATCAAAGAAGACAAAAGAGTGGCAAATAAACACATGAAAGATGCTCAGTATCATTAGTCATTACATAACTGACGCAAATTAACACTACTAGATATGACAACACATCTACTATAACGGGTAAAATTTTAAAAACTAATGAAACCAAGTGGTGGCAAGATGTGGAGAACTACCCATCACTGGTGGAAATGTGTAACAACAGTACAATCGCTCTGAAAACCAGTTTGGCTGTTTCTTTTAAGTCAAACATACACTTCCTTATGATTCTGGAAATCCCACTCTTAGTTACTCACCCAGAAGTTGTTAAAACACGTATCTGCATAAAAACCTTTACGTGAATGCTTTTAGCAACTTTACTAATAATTGCCCCCCACACTGGAAATAACATCAATCTCCAACAGGTAAACAGATAAACTGTAGTGGTTGTCAGTGGAATACTATCTATCTTTAAAGAGGAATGAACTACTAATGAACCACAGCATGGGTAAATCTCACAAACATTATGGGAAGTGAAAGAAGCCAGGCACGAGGGAATATAGCCTATAATTCCATTTATGTGACATTCCCCCAAAATGCAAAAACTATTGGGGCAGAGATCATTGTCAGGGGCCAGAGGCCAATGTGTGGCGAGAGAAGGGGACTGACTGCAGCGGGGAGGAGAGAAAGTTTGAGGATGACAGGAACACTCTCTATCTTGACTGTGGGGGCGGTTATAAGACATACATGTGTCAAAACACAACAAACTGTAAGGCAAAAAGGGTGACTTTCACTGTTTGTAAATTATACTTCAATAAACCTAACCTTCAAAAAGTATGCAGACTTTTAAAGAATTTTAATATATATTGCCAAATTGCCCTTCCATTAACTTAATTTCTTCTCCTACTCCCATTTAATTTCCATTGCCCCTGGCATTCTACAAGGGCCGGCACCCTCATCAGCCTCAATATCATCGAATTATTATTTTCGGCTTTTCCAATTTGGTAAGTTCTTTTAAAATGGTACTTCACTGCTTTTATCTGCATCTCTCTTTTTTCCAGTGACGGTGAACTTTTTTCATTCATTTCTGACAGCTATATTTCTTTTGTGTTCTGTTCATTCCTTTCAATCATTATTTTAAGAAAATATTTGGTGTTTTTTTCTTACTAATTTTTTGGTTTGCTATATATATCCCCAAATATCTTTCATAAACATACTTTCCAGTTTCTCATTTGTCTTTCTTTTTTCAATTTTTTATTTATTTTTTAAGATTTTATTTGACAGAGACAGACACAGTGAGAGAGGGAACACAAGCAGGAGGAGTGGGAGAGGGAGAAGCAGGCTTCCCGTGGAGCAGGGAGCCCCATGTAGGGCTCAATCCCAGGACCCTGGGATCATGACCTGAGCCGAAGGCAGACGCTTAACGACTGAGCCACCCAGGTGCCCCTTTTACAATTTTTTAATATAGACATTTTAAAATGTGAATTTCTCAATATTTTCTATTTTTTCTTTTGTACCATTACTTAGAAATTTCTTTCCTCATCTAGAGTTCAGTTAAATATTTAACCATGATTTTTAAAATTTTTTATAGACTCAATTTTTTCACTTTCTAAATCTGTCTGATAGAGTGGCTACTAGCCACATGGAGTTACTTAATTTTAAATTAATTGAAATTAAGCTTTTTCCCTGCATTTTCTTCTGGTTTTATGGTTTCAGGTCTTACATTTAAATCTTTAATGGGTTAAAGATTTAATTTTTGTTTATGGTGTAGATTAAGAGTCCAACTTAATTCTTTTGCATGTCGCTTCCAGTTTTCCCACCACCATTTACTGAACAGACTATTCTTTTCTCATTGTATATTACTGGTGCCCTTGTCAAAGAGTAGTTGATAGTATGTATGGCTTTATTTCTGAACTCTCTATTCTGTTCCACTGGTCTGTGTCTGTTTTTATGCCAATACCACACTGTTTTGATTACTATAGTATTGTCATATGGCTTGAAATCAGGAAGTGTGATGCCTCCAACTTTGTTCTCAAGATTGCTTTGGCTATTCAGGGTCTTCTGTGGTGCCATACAGATTTGAGGATTGTTTTTTCTATTTCTATGAAAAATGCCATTGGAATTTTGATAGGGAGAGCTTTGGGTAGTATGGATATTTTAGCAATATTAATTCTTCCAATCCATGAACATGGGTTGTGGCAGTGATTGTTTTTCAACTGACACCAAAAGCACAGGCAACAAAACAAAAAATAAACAACTAGAATTACATCTAACCAAAAAGATTCTGCCCAGCAATGGAAAACACCAACAAAATAAAAAGGCAAGCTACCAAACTGTAGAAAATATTTGCAAACCCTAGATCTGATAAGGGGTTAATATCCAAAATATATAAAAACTCATACAACTCACTAGCAAGAAAATAACCCAATTTAAAAAATACACAAAGGACCTGTGTAGTTATTATTCCAAAGAAGATACACACATGCCCAACAGGTATAAGAAAAGGTGCTCAAAATTATTATCATCAGGGAAATGAAAATTGAAACCACAATGAGATATCATTCAATACCTGTTAGGATGGCTATTAGAAAAAAGACAAGAGCTAATCAGTGTTGGTGAATGTGTGAAGAAGAGGGAACCCTGTACACTCTTGGTGGGAATAGAAATTGGTATAGTCTTTATGGAAAACAGTGTGAAAGTTCCTCAAAATCGCACTATTGTATGATCCAGCAATCCAACTTCTGGGTATATATCGAGAGGAAAAGAAATCATTTTCTTAAAGAGATATGTGCACTCCCATGTTACCACAGCATTTTTCCCAATAGCCAAAATATGTAAATAACCTTAGTGGTCACTGGAGGATGAATGAATAAAGAAAATGTGGTAGATACAGGCAATGGAATTATTTGGCCATAAAAAGAAATATGCCATTTGTGACAACATGGATGAATGTGGAGGACATTAAACCAGACACAGAAAGACAAATACTGTATTATCTCACTTATATGTGGCATGTAAAAATGTGAAACTTACAGAACCAGAGAGTAGAGAAGTGGTTGCCAGGGGCCTGGGAGGGGTGGGGGGGAGAAAATGGGGAGATGTTGGCCAAAGGGTATAAACTTTTAGTTAGAGGATGAATAAGTTCTAGGGGTCGAACATACAGCATGGTGCCTAGAGTTAATAATGCTGTGTACCTCAAATTCACTAAGAATAGATCTTAATGTTCTCACCACAAAACAAAAATAACTATATGAAGTGATGAATGTGCTAATTAAATTGATGATGGTCATCACTTCACAACATATTATATGTTAAATCATCACTTCGTACATGTTGTACAGCCTAAATATATGCAATTTTTGTCGATCATACCTCAATAAAGCTGGTGGGGAAAAGCAAGCTAAAACTGAAAAAATTAATTAAAATTAAGTTAGATTTAAAATTCAGTTCCTCAGTCACACTAGTCACATTTTTAAAGATTCTTTTAGAGCAGTTTTAGATTCAATTTTGGTAAATTTAGAACAATTTAGGTAAAACTGAGTGGAAAAGTATAGTGAGTTCTCATATACCCACTGCCCCCACCCCCCGACAATCTCCCCCCACTATCAACATCCCATACCAGAGTACTGTTGCAATGGATGAACCTACACTCATTACACAGCGACACATCATTATAACCCAAAGTCTATATAGTTTACATTAGGGTTCACTTTTGGTGTTGAACATTCTATGGGTTTTAAAATGTAAAACAACATGTACCCACCACTGTAGTATCATATAGAACAGTTTCACTTTCCTAAAAATCCTCTGTGCTCTACCTATTCATCCCTCCCTCCCCTCTAAACACTGGCAATCAATGATCTTTTTCGCATCTCCATAGTTTTGCCTTTTTCAAAATGTTGTAGAGTTGGAATTATACAGATTTTTACTTAGTGATATGCATTTAAGGTTCCTCCATGTCTTTTCACGTCTTGACTACTCATTTCTTTTTAACATTGAGTAGTAATATTGCGTTGTTTGGATGTTCCACAGTTTATTTATCCATTCACCTATTAAAGGACATCTTCATTGATTCAAGTTTTAGCAATTATGAATAAAGCTGCTATAAACATGTGTGTAGGTTTTTGTGTGGATATAAATTCTCAATTACTTTGGGTAAATACCAAGCAGTGTCACTGCGGATCATATGTTATGAATATGTTCAGTTTTTATTTTATTTATTTTTATTTTTTTTAAAGATTTTATTTATTTGACAGAGGGAGAGACAGCGAGAGAGGGAACACGAGCAGGGGGAGTGGGAGAGGGGGAAGCAGGCCTCCCGCGGAGCAGGGAGCCCGATGCGGTGCTCGATTCCAGGACCCTGGGATCATGACCTGAGCCGAAGGCAGACGCTTAACGACTGAGCCACCCAGGCGTCCCTATGTTCAGTTTTTAAAGAAACTGTGAAACTGTCTTCCACAGTGGCCGTACCATTTTTCATTTCCAGCAGCAAGGAATGAGCGTTCCTGTGGCTCCACATCCTTTTCAGCATTTGGTGGTGCACTGCCCACATCTCAAGTGCTTGACAGCCACGTGTGGCTGACGGCCACTGTACTGCACAGTGACACACAGAATACTTCCATCATCAGAGAAAGTTCCATCGGAAATGCTGCTCTGTTTAAAAGTTACGTGTTTATACAGTGAAAGAGGAGCTAATGTGACTTTTAATTTTTTTTCTCTGCAAAAATCCATCCCTTCTCCCACTGGATTTGGATGGTTCTTTGTTTATAGTCTCTCAGAAGTTCAAATTTCAGCCACTTAACTATATGTCCATTAACAAATTATTTAAACCCCTCTGAGTCTCAGTTTCCCCATCCTAATTACTTCTTAGTTTAGTGCATTAAATGAGATAAACAAGGTAAGATAAATCACAACACGTTAATCCTCATTTGTAAACTCTTCTCGATTAGGAGTTTGATTTTTGAATGTCTCAGTATGATACTGCGAGGATTCTTCCTGGAAACAAAAGCTTAATACTGTACTTACCCGATCAGGATTTCTGTAACCTAACAGTAGATTTGCTGCTTTTATATCACCATGAACATATTCATTTTCATGTATATATTCCAGTACATCCAACTATGAAAAAAAATATGTAAGGTTATATTGATATTTATTTCAAACTCATGATCAACTTCAAACATTTTGAATATAGAATAACACATATTTTTTTCATAGTAACAATAGCAAAGTGACATATTCTATAATTATGTATTTATCTATTTATCACAGGTACCGGTCACTTAATCCTGGAAAAAAGTTGAATAACATGATCCCCAAATATCAAGTGTTTTAATTAAACTTCTGAGAGAAGGAAACCAAGATTCAACAGTGCCTATGCCTACGCCCCTGACAGCCTGGTTGGCCAAATCACCCTGTGCAAAGAGGAAAAACACAATAAAATCAGAGATCCAAAATAAAATAATCATGAAGTTCCCTCAGCAGTTCCTCACCCAACCAATGATTATAAATCAAGTTTTGGAGACCCCAGAACAAAACACCATGTCCATGAGCACATTGAAGGGCATTTTCCCTCTGGACAGTAATAGAAAATACCTTAGCTTCATCTTTGAAGCCCTTGAGCCTTGCATGTTACCTACACCCAGTGCTCAATAAACATTTGCTGGCTGGCTAAATGGATGAATGGATGAACGGGAAAATTAACGAGTTCTATCTGCCACATCCCAACCTGGCATGAGCAGTTTCATTCTATTTAAAATGGAAAAAACAAAATGGAGCTTGGGCAAACCAAACACAAACAAGATAAGACAAATATGTGGTATAAACAAAATGTGTGCATGGGTGCTATTAAGATTTCATTGCTTCTTATTTGGCAAAGTATATATTATTCATTGCCATAGTAATTACTGCCACCATCCCAAACTCATACTAAAAACTTTATAGCACCCCCATACCATCACGTGTTTAGTATGGAAAATAATATATTTTGCCACCGTTTGCATTGTTATAAATATAACCGACAAAAGAGAGGTTATTCTTATACCAATGCAAGCTTGTTCTGATATGTAAAACAAAGCTGTGAGGGGAAAAAAAATCAGACTGTAGAACCAATGCCTAATTGAGTTTGTAGTGCCAAACACAGCACATTCTGTCACTTACAGAGCCCACTGTTATCAATTTCACCAAAATAGCCTCTACTCTAAATAACTGACATTTCTAGGGCAATAATCCTTCATTCTCTGATAATTCCACAAAGGGCAACGATTTGTATATTGTAACAAGTAAATAATCTGAAAATAAGGCATGTGAAATAAGTCATTCATTCTTACCACTCGGATACCTAGCTGCAGGACAGTTGACTTTTTAAAAGTACCATTCTGGTCTGAGATCTTCTGTAAATCTATTCCTAGTCTTTCCATTACCATAAATCTGTAACTATAAGAAGAAGACGTCAAAAAGAGATCTTAAGATAGCAATGCTTGAAACTGCCTATTTATGAATTTGAAACAAGGAAAAACACCCCCAACCCAACAATGAAGAATACTGCAATCTGAACCATTAAAGAATGAAATGTACATTAATAATCTTGCTGTTCTTTTACAGAAAGATACTAGTCAGTATTTATTCTGCAGTTAGTTTCTAATAGAAGGGAATGCTGTGCTCAAACACTCAGGCTCAGTCATAGGTCATGAAAAGAGAATGCTCTTTCATTTTTATTTCATCACCCTCTCACTATATGACCTTGAACAAATTATTTGTCCATACAGAAAATTTTATTTATATTTGTTTCTTGACCTTATAAGTCATATTTTACTTTCTCTACACACTTATAAACCTGACTTTAAAAAATGTACTTCTTTTCAGAGCGCTTGGGTGGCTCAGTCGGTTGAATGTCTAACTCTTGGTTTTGGCTCAGGTCGTGATCTCAGGGTCATGAGATCGAGCCCCGCGTCAGGCTCTGCACTCAGCGTGCAGTCTGCTTGAGACTCTCTCCCTCCCCCTTTACCCCTCCCACCCATACTCCCACTCTCTCTCTCTCATAAATAAATAAATAAATCTTTTTAAAAAATGTACTTCTTTTCTGTTTGTCACCTCTGCCCCTTTTCTTCCCTTCACTTACATGCCCACATCAGCCCCTAGTCTACATTTGTGTATACACGCATGAACACAGAAATAAAGGAATTTTTGTCTTTGTTTTACAAAAATGTGATCTTATTCCATGCACTTTTCTGCATCATACTTTTCTCATTAGTATCTCACTGAAACCCTCCCACTATACCTCCCAACTGGTATAGCTCTAACTGATTTCTTTAATGGGCTGCATAATATTACATGGTATGGATACACCATGATCCACTCAGCCACTCAGTCCTCTATTAGCAGCCCTTTACTTTGTTTCAAGATTACTGATCATTCATTTTGTTTTTATTGATAGCATTTAAACACCATTTGAACAAAGCACTGACCACTGAGCCTATTTCCTCACCTAGGGAAAAAGACATCACCTATCTTAAAAGGCTATTGGAAGGGCAAGATGGGGTACCTAACAAACTGATTTTTTTCTCTTCTAAAAATCACTAGTCAATTATTTATATGTGGTGATTTAAAAAAAAAGTTTCTATAAAATTTTGTTGTGCCTTTTCTCAAGAGACAAAGCTTAATTACATCTCCTCTCTTGTGTATGGAGTAGACTTAGTGACTTGCCCCTAGCAAAGAGACTATAGTGGAAATATGTGACATCACTGTAAGATTCGAAATAAGGCAGAGAAAGACAAATACCATCTGATTTCACTCATGTGGAGTTTAAGAAACAAAACAGATGAACATAGGGGAAGGGCGGGGGGAAGAGGGAAGCAAACCATAAGAGACTCTTAATGATAGAAAACAAACTTAGGGTTGATGGAGGGGAGGTGGGCAGGTGATGGGCTAAATGGGTGATGGGGATTAAGGAGGGCACTTGTGATGAGCACTGGGTGTTATATGTAAGTCATGAATCACTGAACTCTACTCCTGAAACTAATATTGCACTGTATGTTAACTTTATTTTTTTCAAATTTTTATATAAATTCTAAAGATTCAATTATAAAAAGGTTGTGGCTTTATTCTTGAATGCATGCTCCTATGTGTGCATGTGCTTTTTCTCCTTCTCTCTCTCTCTCTTTCAATTATTTGCGCTAGGGGAAGCCAGCTACCATGTCTTTGTAACACTGAGGAAGCCTGCTGAGAGACCTATTATTGAGAGGCCTGGGGAAGTGAGGCCTGTAAATAATCACATGAGTGTATTTAGAAGCAGATCTTCTTAGGCCTGCCAACAGCCACACGAGTGACCTGGAAACCAGATCCTTCCCCAGTCAGGTCATGAGATGACTGCAACCCAACAGACAGCTGACTACATCCTCAGAAGTCCTAAGCTGGAACCATCTGGGGAAGCCATAGTTTCCATGGGTAACTTCCATGTTGGTTACCCATGGAAACTAAGATGATAGTAGTCTGTTGTTATACGCTACTATGATTTGGGCAATCTGTTATATAGCAAAGATATTAGAGCACATAAGACACAGTCATAGAATACTCAATTATAATTCCATTTTACCTTCTTCCCTTGAATTCAGTAATACCGGATCCATAAAACAGAGGAATTCCTAAATAATCAAGTTGTTTGAGTTCTATCCAGTTTTTGACTACAAAGACAAATTTAACAGGAAAAAAGATATATATATTTTTAGAAATGTTATTTCTTACTTTTACATAGATTCTAGAAGTTATTTAGCTAACCTAAACAGAAATCAGACCTTTCTAGTAAATGTTTTAAAGAATCAAATATATCTATCTAGTGGCTTCAAATTCTATTTACCACTATAATTAACATAAAAACAAATACAGAAATTTTAAATTAAAGCAATTATAACCAAAACAAAAGTAGTCATGGTCATAAAATGCATTAGCATCATATACACAAGTGTTTCTATTCATGAAAAAAATTCATTCCCTTATATGTTAAATTTTAAAATATAACATATGTTCAAAAAATTAAAATAAAATGAAATAGAACATATGTTAAGTACCAAAGAATCAGTAGAGAGATGGCTTTTTCTTTTCCATTACTTAAAAATTTGAAGCCATGGTAGTTGAAAAAATAGAAATTGGGCAGAAAAATCATCTTACTATGAAATTGTTATACAGAAACTGCTTTGATTAAATTTAGTTTTAAAAAAATCAAATCCACTGAAACCGTCAGGTAGCTTACCTTTTCTACCATATATGTTTAATGTGTAAACAATCAAGTTTAATGGATTCTATTTGTCACCCTGACATAGTTTAAGCAGTTGTAAAGACCATTGTCATACCATTTAGAAGGTTTTATTAAGGAAAACAAAGTTAATTATTGAGCTAGTCTCATCATTCTTTTTCTTAAACATAATGCAGAGGACCTTGACTATTATTGTTTTTATTCATATTAACCTCTTGAAAGCTCTACGTAGTCCATCTATCTATATTGTGCAGTGTTTACAAAATGCTTCTGTTCTTCAGCTCTGCTCACATTCATTTCACATTCAATTCCTCTAACTGGGGGTTCTTACATGTGATTTCCAGCTCCAGTTAATTTCCCAACATTCAAGTTTGTAACACTTTTAATTTATGGTCTACATCATTTTAATGTTTAATCACTTCCACATACCTTACACTAATCCATTCTATGGCCATTCCTTTTGTTTATATATCTACTGCCCATTTTAATATCTTTTCCTTACAACCTTTGACACCAAATGGTTTCCTACGAAAGAAATGATTTCATTCTATCTTTTATACTTAGAGAACTCTTGGTAGCTTAGACCAACAACTTGACATTGTACATAAAGTAGTAGAAACAATTTTGATTTGAAATATATAACCCACTATGTATATAATATCAACATTTACATAGCATCTATCTTACTTTTATATAATAGTTAATTATATTACAATAATATTTTAATTGATAATAATTTTCCAGAAGGCCAGAAAAAAGAAAAATATTAATATTCACTTTAGCATATATATACATATATATGCATATGGAAGTAGCCTGCTTTGCTAAATTTACTTACTATAGTCTTTTTTTGCAGCTCTTTGATAAAATTTAAGTTCTGAAAATAATGGGCCATTTTCTTGATATTCCTATAAAAGAATAATTAATTTTATTAGGAAACAATAATCTTAAAGATAGATTTGATATTTCAACTGTGAAAATATGAGTATACATTCATAGTATATAAACAGTGCTTGAATAATTTATTATAAAACAGGCATCAAATTTCCACAAACAATCTCAGAAAAGCACTAAATAAACTTGGAGAATCTCATGTTTAAATTTAATATACTGGTAACGCTATCTCTACACAATCTTACACATGAAAGTAGTCTTCTTACGGAAAAAAACTTACTAAAAGCACTGAGAAATGTATATACACAGACATTCAATGTCTACCAACATGGACATGAGGGTAGATACACTGCAGACTACCATGGGGTTCATTCACACATGACACCTTTACTAAGTAACGACTGTATTTCATTCATTGTACTAGGCATAGGCGATACAAACAAAAATAAAACCTCATCCTTGCCTTAAAGGACCTTACCACTTAGAGTAAAGAGGAAGAAAGGGAAGAAAGGAATGGAGAGACAGCTAGATAGGATATAAAGATGACAAATGTCAACACAGAAGAACAAAGTTCTCCAGTCTTTACATTTTAATAATGTGAAAATATACTATAACACTACATTTATTGATAAGTAAAATTAAAAGCTAAGTTAAAAACTGTTTTTACAAAGCTACCAGGAATAAAGTAGAAAACAAAAAAAGTGAAATATATATGAAATACAAATTTAAGAGTAATACTTACCACTTTTACTACATGTCTTGCATCTTTACCCGGTTTATTTGCGGGGAAAGCTGCAGAACAAAACATAGGGTGGAAGAGAGAAATAGTCGTTCCCAATTACTGAATTTCTACTATGACACTGTGCTAAGCATTTTACTTATCTTCACTTATTACATCCTCCAGAGAACCTCTTCTGGTAGGTATCATCTTCATGTTACACAAGATACTACTAAGGTTCGACAAATTGAATAATTTGCTCACTAAGAAGTGCAGACTGGGGACTGAAACTCAGTCCATCTGACACCATAGCCCACACTTTGCCATAAACCATATTCAAATATTCAAACATGGAAAGCAACAGATATTAATCACACAGATCCAAATGTAGGGGGAAATATTTTCTGGATATGTAGCATTAACTAGTATATGATAAACAGTAAAATCTACTGATTCAATTTTACTAAATTAAAATCTATGACAGTTCAGAAATGGAAACTGATACATCTTTTTTTTTTTAAAGATTTTATTTATTTTTATTTGACACAGAGACAGAGATAGTGAGAGAGAGAGCATAAGCAGGGGGAGTGGCAGGCAGGCAGAGGGAGAGGGAGAAGCAGGCTTCCCGTGGAGCAGGGAGCCTGATGTGGGGCTTGATCCCGGAACCCTGGGATCATGACCTGAACCGAAGGCAGCCGCTTAACGACTGAGCCACCCAGGCACCCCTGGAAACTGATTCATCTTAACTGGAAAGTTCAAAACAATTTCTGTGTGGCAAAACTCTAAAATAAATCAAGAGAGAATGAGAATAAAGTCTTTTAAAAATCATTTTCTGACCCTGGCAATCAATGATCCCTACATTAAATAATATGTATCTCCTAAAAAGCTCACTTCAAGTTATCTAACTTCCTTTTTATTATTTATCATTTGCATTTTTAAAAATTTCTTCTTTATTCATTTATTATTTAAATAGGCTTCACAGCCAACATGGGGCTCAACTCACAACCTCGAGATCAAGAGTCACCTGCTTTATCAACTGTGCCAGCCAGGTGCCGCTGCATTTTAGATATAGTAATCAAACTTCTGATAATTTCACTGTTCAAATTTTTAGATCAAATCAATCCTTTCATCTATACTATCTAAATTATTAAAAAGTTATGGTTTTCAAATCTTGATAAGTTAATGTGTGTATTTATTTGTACTATGAAAGTCTAGAATCTTGTCATTCATCTCTTAACTCTTCATCCATTCATTCCTTCAACTAACCAATAGTTATTTACCATGAGGCCAGAACTTGCAAGGCACTGTTTCAAGTGTTAGTAGGATGTTTAACGGAAAATGAAAGGAAGGAAGGTAGAACTACTGTTGAATATGATTAAATGTTAGCACCTAACAGATGGAGAACAAGATCAATTCTTCAAGTATATTTTCAGTATGTTTCTCAGACGCCATCCTCTTATGACTACTACTAAGATTTCTCCATTGATAACTAAGATAACTCCATCAGCTTTCCTCTTTTGCACATGATAGATATTTAAAAAATCATAAATTTACCAAAATATATTAATTCCACTTTACAGTCGAGCCAACTCACGCACAACTTTCTTAACCGTTTTCCAAAAATTTTTATGTCAGCCTGTTATCAACCATTTGAAAAAATTATTACTTCAGTGCTTCTTGATATGATATAAACTGTGAACCCAGAGCTCTTTCCAAAGAAACTAAATGTATTTATATCAAGTAATTTTGACCTTTTAATCTTGATGCATGTAAAGTCATTCCACAGTCACCCATACAGTAGTCCCAAGGGAACTACAGGAGGGATGGATGATCCATATCTAAGGCAAGAAAAAACTAAAGAGAGTGAATATAGAAGAAGGATTCCAGTCCTGTTAGAGAAGAAGGGGTAAGAAAAGCCTTTCTTCCCACCTCTGGCAGACTATTTTTACTAGGGTGGTGCCCAAGCCTGGGGAGAAACTGCCCTGTCCTAACCCCAGTCCACTTAGTGCAGTACTAACTCTGGGCAGGGGTCTTTGCTTCCTGAGGTAGAAGTTGGTAGAAACTTCCTGCTTCTCGTCTAAAAGCAAGTGGCCCCAGCAGCAAATACATCATCAAGCCCAACAGATGCAAGCAGAAAAGCACAAAAGAAAAATTGGTGGTTTCAACTAGATAAATAACTTATTTGGGTGCTAATGGGAAAAGAGATACTTAACCAGTGCAGTGGGCTACTCCTTGCTGATTTCAATGAGTATAGCCCTACTACTTTATAGCCTTTCACATTATTTCACATGAACATAACTATGTGTTGACAGATACTCAAAACATCCCACACTTGTCATCTGATAGCTATATAATATTCTCCATAAACTTCTAAGTTAGATTATATTTGAGGGCCTAAATCCAAAATCAATTGACTAGAAAGCTCTTGGAGATGGATGATGAACAAATAAATTGTCCTCATTATCATGGAGGTCTCTTTATAGTAATTAATCAGTTAATTAATGAAATATTTATTTTCTACTGTAAGCCAAGCCACATTCTATCTAGTGAAATTAAAAGATAATGGAAAACAGACATGGTATCTGCTTTTACAGTCTAATGGAGAAATCGGACATTCATTAAATACTCATACACAAGTGCAAAACTGTAATTATAATAAATGTAAAAGGGAGAGGTAGACAGTAATAAGCAAATATATAATTTAATCTATATAAAAGGGAATTATTGAGCAAGAATAGTTGGAGAAGTGATGATGGGCCAGATGTAAATCTAGTTAATAATTTCTGCCTAATGAAAGGTTTTAAAAACTTGAGGTGTAGTTGGAGGATAGGAAACACATAATTAGATTTGCATTCTGAACAGATCACTACACCACAGTGTGGAGAACACTGAAGGGGAACCAGAGTAGATACTGACCGATCACTAAGGATTTAATTTTGATAGACCGGAGGAAAGAGGACTATAGCTTGGACTACACTATCAGTGGTAGATAAAGAAAAATGAACAGATTCCAGAGATTTCAGAAAGTGAAACTGTTAGGACTTGATAAAGGAGGGAAAGGGATCTTGTTTGGTAGGTTACTGCTGATTAATCTACTCAGGGTTGAAAAGAATGATCAGAAACAGTGATAGTCTTGAAGTTATAGCAGTCTCACATCTTCATTTAAATTTCTAACCAGAGGTCTGATGAGCTGCTAAAAAATGCATATTGCACATATAAGATATCTGCCCTACTAGCACTTTTTTCTCTTCATTGGGAACTCTGCCTGCTTTTTCCTTTGAGGAACCGAACTGCCTTCTTCCCATGTGGATCTAGTAGGGCTGCTTAACACAGTATACCTGCCCTTACATCTCAGAGTTGGGCAGATGACCAAACCTGGCCAATTGGAATATACGAGCCCATTGGCCACAGTAGCCAGTTCAGAAAGAGCAACATGCCCCAACTAGGCAAAAAGTTATTTCCTAGGATTTGAAAGTAAAATGCTATGTAACAAAAGGCCATAAACTGTAAGGATACCAAATCCTAGAAATTACTTTCCCCAGCTAAATGGAAAATGAAGTCTGAAAATCAAATCCAACACTGAAAAAAGTAAGGGTAAAGCAGGAAGAGAGAAAGGGACCTGTTGACCTTGCTTAAGCTCTAGACTACGCACACCTGAAGTCAGAAAAGCCCTATACTTCTGAGTTATAAGAGTTAATAAATCCCCCCTTTGTTTAAATACTTTTGAGTTTCTGACACTGGCAGCCAAAGACTTACACAGAAGGCAACTAGAAAAGCTAAAATATGATGGAGTCTGATAAAGAATGTTAATAAAGTAGTGCAGTAGATAAACCAAAAACCTTCTTCTATAAAATAAACAAGATGATGAATATAATAAATCAAACTTTCTTATAAATGAAGAGTTGATCTGGTTAGATAGATAGATAAATAAATAAATAGGAAGCCCAAAACAAAGAGAAATTGAAAAACTAGAGGGAAATGTACATGAGCATTAATGTTCTAGGCTGTGCTGCAGGCCCGAAAGAGGCTGCCTACTCTGGGTAGCCAAGGATATTAGTGTTAAAGCTCTCCTGGGAAAAAGACAAGTCCTTGGGCCTGCAACAGGCAGAGATTTGAAGTTAAGTTGGCCACATAAAGTCAAATTTTCCAAGGGCTACATCTTCAGTAGTGTGAAACATTAAAAAAAGAGAGAGAGAGAAATGGGGAGATGAGGGAGGGGAAGAAAAGGAAAGAGGGGAAGGAGGGTGAGGAAGGAGAGGGAAAGAATGAAAGTAAGAAAGAGAGATTTCACCACTGTCAAACACAGAAAGAGAAACAAAAACAAGACAGAAGAAAGAGAAATTAAGGAGTTGATCCCATTTACAATTGCACCCAAAACCATAAGATACCTAGGAATAAATCTAACCAAAGAGGCAAAG